TCCTGGTCAAATTTGTCCTGTCCACCAATTTTGAACCACGAGTACAAACAAATTGTTATTTTTCCATCTGTATTATTACTAGGTATTAATTATTATTATAGAGATGGAAAAAACCAAAAAACTTAATTCATATTTTTATATGAATCATAATTATATCATTATCTACTTTAAATCAATAATTATTATAATAACGATAATAATTAATACCCTACAAACGTAACGACCAAAGTTGTGGTTTATAATGGCATATTATACATCGGCTTTATATATGAGTACATTCTGCAGTTGTAGTACATACCACTTACGAGGATATCAGCGTGAACATTTGTATTATACCTAATACAACCTTTGTCCAATATATTTTAAAAACGTGCCAATATTTGAAAGGGGATTTACTTCAAAAGTATAATAAATAGTTAACGTTGTGTAAAAAATATTGAGTTCTTGTCCTAATTGGACTTATACCTTATTTGTTTACTAATAACGAGTTCAAATCGAGATAAAAAAAAAATCGAGTCGATATAATAAAGTAAGTGTTAGTATAAATAAACGTCTACTGTGCAATTAATTAATAATGCTATATTATATTATAGTTGAATAGCAGTAATTAATATAATATGTTTAGTGTTTACATAATGAAATTATGGTATTGACCTTTTAATTTTAAAAATGATAATCATTTGATGTAGTTACACTTTATGAAAGTAGTCGTTTATCATCCTAATATTATAATTGGCATGCCATTACAAAAGTCATGTTATTGCCGACTATGCACTGATAAAATATATTATTTATATTTTATAGATTCGGTCGTATTGGTATGAAATGTAATTATAGATTTGTTATTTACATTTTCAGATAGAAGGAAATGGATCAACATGATAATAATGTCTGACAAACGACCGCCAAGAAGGACCTGATAAAATACATTTTTAATAATCCAATAACACAGTGAACGAGCGCAAGTAAACTCTGCCACAAGTACCTTTTTTACTGTTAACTCCGCCAGTTAAAAAAAACAGGTAAAATTGGGATTATGTAAACTCCACCACTGAAAAATATCAGGTAAAATTGAGGTCATGTAAACTCCGCCAATGAAGAAAATCAAGTAACAGTATAATAGTATATTGTGTGGCAAGGGCGGGAGGTGAGATAATTCGTTCGAGGGCGAGGGCCGCATTTCGCCCAAGACTGAAATTGCCATCCCGCACGAGCCACACATACTCATTTTTTTCACGCCTTTCCGTTCATTGAACGCTCCATCACGGTAAAAGTAATTCAGATGAACGAAATATTCCATGCAAAAATCAGACTATTTTACGAATACAATATATTTTCATGAAAGAAAAGATTTGGTTTTATTTATTTTAAGCATCATCATTTATGGAGGTTATCAGTGGCGTATTTAGGAATTTGTCATAGGGAGGGTCCAGATAATTTTCAGAACACAGAGCCACGGGGGCGAAGCCCCCCACACCACCCATTTACTCTTTATTAAATAAATATACCATATTTATAAGACGATATAAAATTTTTGAGTTTTTAATTATTAAATAATAATATGTTATATGTACAAAACAAATTTTAAAAAAAATGGGTAAGTGGATGTCGCTCTGCTGCTGTACAGTAGATTACAAGTGGGTCAATGTATAATAGATTGTAATTAACTTGAACTCAATGATAATATATCATAATATCATTGTATAAGAAAAACGATTCTGAGCGGAGACAGTTTGTCAGTCTGGATATTTTATATTGTTATTACTTATTATAGCCTGTAAGTTGAATTAATAATGAAATATTTTTTTTTTTTTTTATTCGTTTCTATGGTGATAGATAGACAGAGCGTTAGAAATTAAAATCCCATTTTTAACGGTTTTTCGTAATTTTTCGGTGGCATTAAATAACTATTGAGAAAATCGAAAAATGACTTCTCTAAAGTACCATCTTGATCCAATTTTCTAAAAGATAAGATACTATATGTCTATATAATATGTTGAAAATCGAAGCACTCCTTCTGGTAGAAATTTTGTATACATGAAAAAAAAAATAAACACCATTGTAAAACCAATAGATCCCTCACTCCGCTCAGAATCTAATATATAGTTATGTTATAACTTTTATACAAATATTTCCTAAAATACATTAGGTACCTACTTCATTCATAGTTGATCTTACATAGCTTTTCAACCTTAAAAAGTTGAAAAAGATCTCTCTGGAGTGGTTGTAGATACTGGCAATGTACAAAACTACAAAATATTTGAATTAAAAAATGAACTTGGTATTTTTCAACCATTTTCGGTACCAAAACCAAACTGATAAAAATAATCACGATATTCATTGAAAATGTTGATAACTCTATAGCTTCGAAAATTTTTTATAAAATCCTTCGTATCGTACGATAAAATTTGTTTTTCTTAATCATGTAAAAACACAACATTTAACATGTACGAGACACGAGTCAATGGTGGGGGGGTCCGGACCCCATGGACCCCCCCCCGTAAATACGCCACTGGAGGTTATAATATGAATATAAAATGCAAATAAAAGGTTTATGTTCTATGAGACCATTTTGTTGTAATTCAAAGACGAATAACTGTAGATACATGAAAATTTTACTGAATGTTCATATTAGCATTTCCTATACATTGTACAATTTTGAAAATATTTTGACTCTTTTTGAGCTGTTTACGGACATTAACAGTTTTCAATTTTTTTCTATAAATATCAATAAATTTTTATCTGTTTTGCCAAAAAGTGTAAAAATTTAATACAATTCTAATGATATATTCTTGCAATATCAGTTGAAAATCATTAAAAATACACAGACGGATTTTTTCTATAAGTATTTTAAGATTGAATTTTGACAAAATGTATCATATTTAAAATTTAATAATTATTTTGTAGTTAAAAATGTAAAAAATGTTCAACTTTTATATCCAAAGATTGAAAATTTAAAAGAAGATTCCACGTATGTAGTTAACTGTGTTACCAAAAAATCTAAAAAATACATAAGCACAGTTTATTTTTATAGTAATTTTAAATTCAAATTTGGATGAAATTACATAATAAAAAACCTAGAATAACTATTTTCTTACTCTACTGTAGTAGAAAAATACAACTATAGATTTTTAGTACTTGAAACTTCTAAAGTACACCATTGTATATCTATGATAGCATCATTGTTTGTTGTTGATGTATAACGCGTTATAAGTTCCTAATGGATATTGTGATATGATTAGTTTGAAATTTATTATAGGTACCTATTATAGCTCAATTGTTTTTAATACCATATAGATAAGTATATAATATGTCTTATACCTAGTCTCCGATCAGAATCGTTTTTTTTATATAATGATATTATATCATTGAATTCAAATTTAATAATATTCATTTATACTGTGACTCACTCATAATCTACTGTACAGCAGAGCAACTTTTTTATATTGATGATATTATTATTATTATTATTATTATTACTATTACCATATTGATATATATGTCTATAATATAACATAATATAATATGGTAAATATGGTTTAGTGAATGAATTCAGTCTTCAAAATATTGTATTGTGTAAAAGGGTCGGTTATACTCTTCGCCGCCGTCAAGTTTCTGGCGGAACGCATATACCACCGTCGTGCAATACAATTCCGCCGCCGTCTTCGCAGATGCCGCTATGAGTAGTATGGACCCCTGTGAACTTAATATAATTTGTGGGGTAACCGACAATCCGAAATGGCACCACGAAAAATGGCATTTGGATAAACCGTCTAACCACTGTCACCGGCCACCGCGGCCGAGTTCAATATCTTTCAGTCAGTAGTGTTTAGCGCTGTTGCCTGTTACGTGATATTCTGTCTAACGAGTTCCACGCATATATAATAATTTAATAATATTGTCTATGGTTCGGCGTTAGCGCCGTGGTGGCCGGTGGGCTTATCATCCGCAGATAATGAATTATAGATAATAAAATGTGTTATCTATAATATATTCTGTGGTATCATTCCAATGTCGACTGATAGAGTATAGTGATAACCACGACTGTCCAGGACACCGGGTTTTCGATTTTTCAAATATTTCGATGTAGGTATAAATTAATATTTATTATAAAATTCATCATGGATTTTTATTCTTGGAATATTAGATTTCATACATTATACATTTGTACCTCACAAATTGTCATAATGCGTTGTATAACTTATCGACGACAGATATTATTTAGTTTTCTCGACCAGTATTGAACGAGCGCGTCCGACCAGACCACCAGAGTGAGACCAAACTATGTAATAATTTGATTTAAGTCTGCATCGCAGTTTTCTACAAAAGTTATTGAATTGGCGTGTTCATCTTATATTGTTATTGTTGTGGATAGTGGATACTGGATACACAAATCATGAGCACGTCATTCCAACAATATGTCGAGTATGCTACAGATTTAAAAAATCATTCGGACTCGATAGATGACGGTTGGAATTTACGTCAACACCAATGTCCAATGGTAAAAAAGCCAATTTACATTATTTTTTATCTTTTAAAAGACAGAAGACAAGTGAAATAATATAATGTCCATTAAAATATCCATGAAAAGTAAATAACTGATAAAAAAATTTAACACAATAATCAAACTTACCATCCATATAAATTGTTTCTGAGATACATAAATGTAATATTTGTAATACAACTATATATAATAAACTCACTATCGAAATCAGATAAAATTAAAAAACTTTCATCTCTAATCGTTTTTGATGCCATCTGAATAAGTGAAGAGATAACTTCAGAGCGTGTTGGTTTTTGAAGTTGGAACTGGTGGCATTCATTTTCTAAGTGCATTATACAAATTTCTTTTTACCAATGACATGTCATTCGAAGTCAAATTTACTGAGTTTCTTATAGTACTACTACATTCTAGTCCCATATTTAATATTTTAGCTATAAGGAACAATATATCAATATTTAATATTTTAGCTAACTATAAGAAAAAGTATATTTTATTATTATTTATTTTTTGAAAAGTATTTACTCGGTTTATGACGAATATCTTCCACCGTTTTTTTTACACAATTACTTATTTCTTGTCTTTCTAGTATTTGGTTTGAAATTGGAAGGCATAAAGTATCACTTGACGAATTTTTCAAAGTGCTATATATTATGTTGCTCCCTCCAATGGTTTTTATAAATGCGTTGTAATATTTGTTATTACACCTCCATTTTATTTCACCAGAAGCGTATCTGATATTTTTGTTATAGTTAAAATTGTTAAATAAAACCAATAAATTGCCTCTTTTTACAGTAATTAATTTTATATCAAAACTTTGTTGCGACATAATTCGTTTGGACATATTTCGTTTAATATAAATACTCTTTAACAGACATAGACGTAAGAACACTAGGTACGAATGCGGAATGATTATGTTCGTCAACGTATATGTATGTTACCTACTGCCGATATCAATGATATCATCATTGGAAATACTGTTAAAAATATTTTTAAATATTAAAAAATAAATAGATCTAACCTTGAAAATTTTATCAATTTCGACGTGTATCCTTCTCAATGGATGTCAACGTATTTAATGCGAGAAGGCATTTAGTAATGCATTTAAGAAAATAAAACTGGCGCAGTTTACATTAGACACCTATTAAGTTCCATTTTATCTAACCAATATTCTAGCAGAGTTTACAATCGCCCAGGTTACTAGTAGGTAAATGTATAATGGATTGTCTTAAGCTTGAATTGAATGATATAATGGCATTGTATAATAAAAACGATTCTGAGCGGAGATGGATTGTCAGTCTGGATATTTAATATTGTTATTATTTATTATAGTCTATAAGTTGAATTAATCTATACTGCTATATAAAATTATAAGGGGTTTTCTACGACCGCGCTAACCGAGAAAACTACTGAACCGTTTTGGCTGCCCTTTGTTACTGTTATACCTTACAGTCTGCTGAAGGTTTTAAATCCACTTTCGTTAATAAAAAATAAGTATAAAGTTCTTGAAAAATTAAAAAAACAAAGCTAATCTATCCTTATATTATAATATATAAAAGAACAGCCTTTTTTTTGTTCCAATTTTGTGACGACACTGTTTAATATTTTACAAATATTTTTTTACAGAGTTGTTCCAAATACGTTCCTGAGTGTCCCACTTCATCCGATTCAAAATTTTTTTTTTTGGAAGGGAAGGAGAAGGAAATCTATAATATATAGATATTATATAAAATTCAAATACTAATGACTCACTGATCGCTGTATTTCAAAAACTTCTTAATGTACGAACTTGAAATTTGGAATAGTGGCTTTTCTAATATTTTCACGGTGCAATAAGAAAGGATTTGTAAAAATTCGTATTTTATAGAGGTGCTCATTATCGACATTGAGGTTCACATTGGAAATTGTATTTTTATTTATAAATTGTTGCTATTGGTTACAGTCTACAGTAGAAATTAATGTTTATTTATTATTGGTTGCCATTGGTTATTTGGAAAGATCAGGTATAAGCTTGTATCAAATCGAATTATTGAACATTGCATATCATTTACCAAGATGAAGAGTTGCCCTTTGTCCCTTTGTGGCTGAGTTGCACTTACTGTAGCAAGTTACACCAAAAAGGAGTTTAACAATCATAATTTTTTTTAAAGTTGCGATTTTTTACGGGCAACTGAGTGTACGGGTTCAGCTACAGCTATAAAAATACATTTATCATTAATACCACTAGAAACATTTCAATACGTTTTAATTAACCATTTTCATATTTACTTGCCGATCACATTAAACGATAAAATTTGAATAAAAAATTATACGTACCGTCATCCGAAGGCAAAATAAACAATCAATCACGGGTGAAGCTGTGACGAGTCGCCTAGTATTATATTATTATTAAAATATTATTTAATATTTTTTATTCGTTTCTAAGGTGATAAACAAAGCCTTAGAAATTAAAATTATGATCTTAGCGATTTTTTGTAATTTTTTGGTTGTTTTAATGGGAGTTTAAAAATTGCACTTAAAATGACCGTTTCATATACCAATTGCGCTCTAAAAATTGTAGGGTCGATATACCAATTGGCAATTGCACTCTAAAAATTGTAGGGTCGATAGACCAACTACGCTCAAAACATTTTACACTACCTAAGGAAAAGTTATTAGTTAGTTATAAATTATAATCATATAATAAATTATTACACTAACCGATTTTTTGCGAGTATAAATGCATAATACATAATATAATATAAATAAATAAACAATTTTTTTCTTCATATTTAATAAGTTACTTTTTGATTGTCAATTATATAAAATGTATAAAATGATAACTTGTTTTCGTCCATAACTCAAATGCATACTTCCGTAATCAAATGTCCGTAATAATAATAACTTTTCATAAAATCCCCGATACCGTTATAATAAATGTATTATAACCTCAGTCACTCTATCCAGTAATCAATTGATCAATAAATACGTTTTTAATTTTCAAGCATTTTAGTATGTTTATGTTGATGTTGATGGAATTAGATCGAAAGACAATATTTCTAAATTTGAAGGTAGCCAGGGAAATTTGAATACAAGCGCAATTGTATATTGACCTTAAAATATAAAGAGCGCAATTCCACTGACCCTAAAATATAAGCTGTGCAAATGGTATTTGACCCTAAAATACAAATTTTGTTTTGGCGAAATGGATCCATTTAACTATTGAGAAAATTGAAAAATTACCTCTCTAAAGTACCATCTTGATCCAATTTTCTAAAAGATAAGATACTATATGTTGAAATCAAAGCCCTTCTTCTGGTATAAATTGTGTATATAGTCTAAAAAAAATTAAAATAAACACCATTGTAAAACCACTAGCTTTCTCGCTCCGCTCGGAATCTAAAAGCGTGGAAGTGCAGTGGGGTGGAGTAGGTCAGTGGTGGTGGAAGTTTATTCCATCTTCCCTTCGGTCCTCTGACAGGATTGTGTATTATTATACTGATGCACTAACTGTGACGCGTGAAAACATGTCGGAGACACATAATTAGTACCTAATATTATTTATTTATAATATATTTAATATTTTTTCATAATTTAATGCACACAGGAAAAATATTTTTTTGAATGCAATGTTGGATAAATTTGCCACCCCTGCAGGAAAAAATCGTTTTTATATTATTTATATTATCATAATTTAACATTACGTTCAAGTGTTCAACCTGAAGCTTAACCAAACTTATAAGTCTAATAGCTACATATCTTTCTGCTGTGTTTAGAAATGATATGTAGCTAATATCAAAATGATACAATTAATAAAATATTTATTTTTATTTAAGTTTGAAAAAATATAGAAATTCAAATGCGTAACAATTAGTTTGAACTTGATTTATATTGTATCATAAAATATGTGCTTACATATTTAAACCTAAATTTGACAAAACTATGGTAGTCAGTATGCGGCGTTTTCCTCAAAACACCAAGCAGTACAATTAATCTTATAGCTCATTCGATAGAACAAAAAAAAACTACACAGATTTTTCGAACCCAAATAAACTTTTAATTTCCATAATATAATATAGATGTAATCTATAGTGTTTAAATTGTTTACCTTCATGGTCAATACATAAAAATAATCTTTTTACTAAATTAGTGATACCTACTTAGTATAACATCAAAAATTGTTTCCCTTGGAACATTTTCAATAATAACTTTTTGATTGATATCAATGAATTTATTTTTGGATTTAAATATAGCTTAAAAAGATTTCTTTATAAGTGTACTTTAAGTAGAGATGTTAACAATTTAATTTTTTAAAATAACTAATCAATAAACCCTATATAAATATTGCTATATTACAAAATATATTATATCTTATAGGAATAAGCTTGTTAAATGTAAAAAGTTAAACATTATTGCTTCCGCATTTTCCAGTTAAGATATTTCAGTACGATATAGATGCTTGAATTTAATGAAAATAACCCACAAAACCATAAAGATTTAATACCAAATGCATTTTCTAAAATGTTGACCTGCATAAAAAAAGGCTTTTCAATTCCAGTGTGTCTGTACATTTATGAAATATATTACATAGGTTTATTGATTTTTCTAAATCAGGATTAGGATATCAGTCCAACACATACGTCACACGCATAGAATATGGTGAGTGTGGCAGCAATTATTTTAAAGCTACAATTATTTAAGTATTTATAACGTATTTAAAAACCTTCTTATTATATGGTTCAGAGGTGGTAACTTGTTATTTAAAAAAATAATTAAAAAGATAGGGATTAATATACTTACGTTAATGTTCTTGACCTTTCTGAAAATCTGTTGCTGCGAAGGCAATGTGAATATATGCTCTATATATCACCTATACATATGTTGTTCATATGTTATTTAACGCATCAGAATTTATTGATCTGCCTTAAAGTTCACATGAATACCCAAACAGGTAACCATTGACTAAAATAGAATAAAACATGGAATTATATAAGATATAAAAAGTCGAAAGGACAAGGAAATTGAAAATATGCGTCTAATGATAATATTGTAAAAAAAATGCTTACAACGTAGCTGTGATGAACAATTTCAAATTATTTTTTAAATGCACTTAATACAACATGCATGCTATATAATAATTAATTATTTAATAGAAGAGAAGAAATATGTTTTTGGTATGGACATTGAAATAACAATAAATTAGAAATCATTGTTAGCGAACAAGAAAAACAAAAATACAAGCGAACAGCTATATGATATAGCCAGAAGTCAGATGGTCCTTTGTGTGAACCACTTATCTCATATGGCTCTCCGATACAGTTTATAATCTATACAATACAACATTGTACGATCACCTGACCGTTATTGGTAAATTACAAACGTCAAACGGGCACGGGTTCTATCCCGTGTGCAACTTTTGATGTGTTCTCAGACTACTTTTATAAGCGTACGATTTGTTGCAAACGCCGCACGTGTAAGGATTCTCTCCCGTGTGCTTTCGATGATGTGCAATCACACCATTTCTGTGACTGAACGATTTGTCGCAAAAGTCGCAGGAGTAGGGCTTCTCTCCCGTGTGTATCCGCTGATGAACTTTCAGGCTATAATATCTACTGCTGAAAGATTTGTGACATATGTCACAAGTGTATGGCTTCTCCCCCGTGTGCGTACGCCGATGCTCAATCAGTCTAGATCTATAAGTGAACGATTTGTGACACACGTCACACGAGTAATGCTTCACTCCGGTGTGAATTGGAAAGTGGACCGCAAATTCTTCTTTATTGGTGAGCATCTGATCACATAATATGTCACCTGGGTACGGCTTCTCTTCCTTGTGACTTGGCCGGTGTACTGTCAGATTAATAATTTCAAAAAATTGCTGAGTCACGTACCAACGATACTGTAACTCACGTAAGATCATCTTATCGCAAATGTTGAGATCATTCATTTTAGTGTCTTTCAATCTTCCTCAAATATTGCTATCACATGAATATTTTCTCAAAACATGCTGTAAATTATGTACACTGATCAAATTTAACAGTATTGGAATTTATTTATGTTGTAACTAACTCATATTTTTATTTGGTTGCTAGATTATTCTAGCATTTTGTTTACGTCTATTACAATTTACTTAACTCATCAGGTTTCCTAGCCAGTATTCTGATTTTATCATTTAAAATTATTATATAATAATTATTAATAAGAATAATTATTTACCTAATTAGATAATATGAGTATAAATTATGAATCTGGGTTACTTTTATATTAAATACCTAATCTAAGTTATATTATGATAGTTCAGTACCATATTAAATTGATACAAAAGTAAATTATTAGTAAATTAGACAACGAGCTATAAAATGTCTAGAAGACTATAAGTATAACAAATTAGGTATATAGGGATAATCATGTGGTGGATGAACTATAATATTTAACCTGTACCTGGCATGATTCAGAAACATTTTTTGCACTTGATAAATTCTTAGTGAATCAACTACGGCCATGGAATTAGGAGATCAGACAGTAGCTCCAAACTCTAGTACTGAACGTACTAATGCACAATAGAGTACGGGGAGACATTAGGGAGGGTTGAAACTCACAGAATGTCTTCTAATAAAACCAAGTTTACGTACTGCTTTACTTGAAGTAATTGATATGAGGAAGGAAATCTAAAGATGGGACAAAAAGAAACCCTAAATCAATAATTTGGATAAAACAATCAAGATGCAACCATCAAGAGAGTAGTCAAATATTATAAATACTTGGGTCTGATAGAATGACGTAATTTTACATTTGCCAATATTCAGGAAAGCCAAACGTTACACCAAATTTAAAATTTGTTCAAAATAGTTTTAAGTATTTTATAGTCTTCTGTGGAAGACACCTTATGAAATATCTTATAATCATCGGCAAATAGCAGAAACCATGCTGAAGAAATTATTGAATATACAGAATTAATAAATACATTGAACAGTAGGGAACCTAGGTGATTAAATTGAAGGACACCTGAGATCACTTGGAACGGTTTGGATTTCATATCAAAAAGAGAAACAAACTGTACGCGTTCGAAAAGATACAATTTCATCCAGGTTAGGAATAGACCTTCAATTCCTAGTCGATACAATATTTAAATAAACGTACCGTGATAAATCAAGTCCAAAACTATCGAGGAGTAAGTATAAGCTACGTCAACTAGCTGCTTTAACAGAAATGTATCATGCGCAGAGGATATGAAATCTCAACTGTCATTTTATACATATTAATAAATCTAGATTATTCAATGATCATAAGGATTTCTCTTGTAGAAGAGAAGTCTCAAAATATAATTTTCCTGACAAATATCTTCATAAATCATTTGTTCAATCTCATTATTATTGTTAATCCTAATTATTAATTTGTAAATTTATTGTTTTATGTAAGTCAATGATTGCTTATTAATATAGTACCTATTGTGCTTATTGTAGATATTAAATATTATGATAGTTATAAATCCTTACCTCTAACACAAGCAGGAGGTAGGTAATCAAAATATGTAATTTTTAGTAATAATTTGTAATGTATTTGATTTTTAGAAAAAAAATAAATACATGCCATGGACCTATATGTTAATAATTGCTGCATGGGAGATGTGGATGTTATAATACGCTCTATATCCCAGCTTAATTGTTTTATTTAATACATCAGCAATTATTAATCTTCTTTTAAACACCAAAACAGGTAACAATAGCCTAAAATAGACAAAAAAAACCCTGGTATTATAATCTATAGAATGTAAAAATTGAGAACACGTACATTGAAAACACGTAATATAATAATATTATCAAAACTATTTGATGCAACACATTTGTGATGATCTACTAAATATGTTCAAATTATCCTTTTTTTTTTAAATTATACCCAACATGTATAATATTCAATAATTTTAATGAAATACAAAAAAAGATAAAGTGTATTCGTTATAGACATAGAAAAAATAATCATAATTCATTATTATTAAGCAACCATAAGAAAAAATCACCCGGTGATAAGAGGCAATAGGTGGCAGTTTTATATGAAAAACTTATCTCATAATTCATTCTAATACGATTTATCTGTGCATACAATAGTGTACGATCAACATTGTTAAATCGGATAAGTACGTCAAAAGGCTTCTATCCGCTGATGGACTGTTAGACTATTGACTAGAGGGAAATATTTGACGAATACGTCTCACGAATGTATGTGTGTCCACCTTTGTACTGCTAGACTATGTCTGCTAATGAACCATTTGTCACACATGTTACAATGGTACGCGGCTTCTCTCCCGTATGAATCCGCTGGTGTACTGTCAGTCTACTTACATCTGTAAGTGAACAATTTGTGACACACGTCATACGAGTACGGCTTTTCTCTCGTGTGAGTTCTATAGCGGATTGTCAGTTGCATAGGCGTAAGGGGGCTCTAGGAGTGGAATTCGGCCTTCCCAGAATTTCTTAAGCCCCTATACATTCCATTAATAATTTACTATGTTAATAGTTACGCTTATGGTTAGTTGGCGAACGAATCATCGCAAATGTCACACGAGTAACTTTTAGAGACTTTTCTGCCATATGCGTCCGCTTATGTATTGTCAGATATTTTGAAGTGTCACCATTGTCAGTATATATCTGTAAATTAACGATTTGTGACACTCGTCACACGAGTACAGTTTCCTTCCCTTGAGAGTTTGTTGACAGTGGACCGTAAATTCATCGTTATTGGAGAACCTCTAATCGGATACATCACAACTCTTGTGACGTATCCGATTGAGAGCTGTACCCTACAGCTTTTCTACCTTGTGATTTTGCTAGTGTACTGTCAGTTAAATATTTTGAAAATATTTTTCAGTCACGTAGGACCGGTACTGTATCTCACGTATGGTTATCTTATTCCTAATGTTGATATCTTTCCTTTTAGTGTTGTTCGGTACCGACTCTGGCGGCGACAATATTTATTGTTGTGATGGGTTTCCGCCGATAAGGCACAGAATGTTCTAGAAGAGAACCCCACCCCCCGCCACCGTACCATGATAAACCGGCTCTCGCCGCCGGCAATAAAGGCCACCGCCTCGGGGAGTAGTAGTGTGCATCGTATCGCACTGGACAGTTCGCGAGCTATCTCAAGTTTCGTCGTACGACGCGAATGGCGTCGGCCATCATAATATTGTTGTTCGTTGTTGCCGCGGTATATGTTGCCGTTTAATAAAAATATAATATTCGTTATGTTCGAATCGGTTGTTAGCGGCATGTGGTTTTGGGTCCGTAGTTGCAACGAGCGGTCCTCCGGTGTGTGTTATTATTAACTGTTCGGTCTTTAAAGTGCACGCGGGTGCACGTAAAGCTCAACGAACGGGTCAGTGGTGATCGTGCGCGGGCACGATTCCATCGTTAACCTACCAAAGTACGTCGGACATTCGGGCAGCCATCAGCGTATGGGTCGCGGGACCTGAGCGGGGTAAGCAGACGTCGGTACGGTTTTCATTGTGTGTATGTATATAAACATATACAGTATACCTGCACGTATTCAGTCATATGGACATCTTATGGAGTGTGAACAGTCGAGCGGTCGGCAGTAACCAACATTCAACAACCGGTAACGCGATATCTTAACTGATACGCGGTTTATTTATTGTATTATCACATTATCACTTGTATCATTATTTATATTTGTTTTGATTGATATTATATCATCATTTTGTATTATAGCCTCTGTGGCATTTATTGTGTTATTATAATTTTACGGTATTAGCATTATTCATTAATTATTATTCTCGGTTGACGAGCGATTAGGCATTATTATATTATATAGTAGGTGGGCGCCTACATCCCTATTTTCATATGTAATTATTATTATTATTATTATGTGTAAATATTATCCATGTCTGTGATGTTGTGTGATGTACTATTATAATACAGTCCACTTGATATTTTTACCAATCCGAATTCGTTGATTATTATTAGTGTTAGAATCCTAATCATTTTATAACACATATTATTAAAAAACAAAAATTAAATTACACGACACAACAAGTGTTTTTATTCTCCCACATATGTTGCTATTACATGTTTATTTTCTAATGGCATGCTATAAATTTAGTACACCAATCAAATTTAACTGTTTTTGAATTTGTTCTTTTTTTTTTGTAACCAGCTAACACTTTTTTTTGGTTGCTAGATTATTGTAATATTTTGTTTACCGTATATTATAATTTACTAACCTCGCCAGGTTTTCTAGCCAATATTGTCTTATTTCTATTTAAAGTTATCATATTATTGGTAGAATTAATAAGATACTAATAATATAACTAATATGTGTTGAATGATGAATTTCAATCGGTATTTGTGAGTGTTCTCGGAATTCTTAGTGTTAGATTATTGATTTGAGTGAACGCTCTTTTGCAAACCTCACACGACTACGGTTTCTCTAAGAGAAATTCTCTTCCATGTGGGTTCTACAGTGGACTGTCAATTTACGTTATTTGAGATCTTCTCACATACATTACATGGGTAAGGCTTCTCTCTATATGACTTAAATTTTGTTCAATTCGTTATTTAATATTGGGTATATGGTGTTCAAAATTTATATTAAGGGGCCTTTACGGTTACATTGGTTTTCTCTGTCTTACAAGTGCGTAACATAGCAAATTTTAAGCTCCGCAAAACACGTTTCTCTCCCGTTAGTTTAAAAATTAGAGCAAATTGACCTCTTATAAAATTTAAAGGCAAGATTATTATCTAGACAATGGCATAAGTTTTTTATTATAATTTAATTTTAAAGCGAGTTAGGTGTATTTTAAAATTGTAAACTGTTTGTACATCTTAAAATACTCATATCGGTTAGATAATTTACTATCTGACCGATAAAGTATACCGATATAATCGATAAAACCGAAACGCGTTTAAGTAATGAACTTCAGTCGTGAAATATTTT